CAGCCAGCGCGGATCGCCTCGGTATGCGATCCGGCTGGCTGGATTAGGCAGACGCGGCCCTGTAATTAAGCTCTGTAGAGGGCAGCCCGTTGGGTCCTTCTGAGAACCCCCTTGAGGACTGAGCAGCCGCCAATCGCAGAGCCGCATTAGATGCGGTCCGGCCGGCCGGGTGCAAGTGACAAACAGGCGGCAGAGGGAGAGAGCCACTGCAGCTGCAGCACGCCACAATGATATGATAAGGTGAAAAGGATGGCCCCAGCGGTATGAAGCTCCCGCTGTGCGAAGAACATCCAGCAGTGGTTTTAGCATCCTGCGCATCCTCAAAGTGTGCCGTGACAGATCAGGCATCACCTGTATCTGGGCACCGTCAAAGTCTAGTTGCCCCTTGGTCCAGGCCTTCCGCATCACCTCTTCTTTAACCGAAAAGAAGTGGACCCTGCACAAAACGTCCCTGGGCACTGTGGAGTCAGGGGGGCGGAATGATTGCACACGATGTACACGATCCAGCTCAATAGGGTCCCCCTGTGGTTTGTCCAGGTACAAATTAAGTATGACAGTGACTGTGGAGTGCAGTTCAGGGCCCGAAGTGGCTTCGGGGACCCCCTTTAACCTCTTGCCGTCCGCCCGTAGTAGAAAAACGGACGGACGGCACTGCTGCATCTGCGGACATTGTTACGGCGGCTACGATTTTCAGCATCGTCTTGATTCAGGTAGAGAGAAACCAGTCTTTGCTGAGTGGCTAAGTGTGCAGTTTCTATTGCTGACATGCGTGACAGGAGATCATCTGTGACGGTTTCAACTGCTGCAACTTTGCCATCCAGAGCCACAACTTGCTGTTTTATTTTATGCACCTCAGAGCGCAGAGCCTGCACTATCTTGGCTGCCATCTCATCCAGATCAGCTTTGGTGGATAGCTGGGGGAGGAGTGAGCGCCATGTCTGCTCACTGCCTGCCTCTTGGACCTGGTCTGCTGCCGAGCGGGTTGGACTCATTGGGTCACCCCCCTGTGTCATGCTGGGAGTCCTGACCGGGGATCTGTCACCATCCGGCCGTGATGCTCCTGTGTCAGGTGCCCCAGGCACTTGCTTAGGCTGCCGCTTGTTGGGTGTCTGACTTACTGTGTTGGAGCGGCCGGGCGTCATGTTGGATTCCGGCGCGGCCTGCAGGGGAGTCGGCTGCTGCCCGAAATAATGTAAGATGTCCCGGTGCGCGGTCGGCGGGGATGAGCTGCGGGCTCGTTTAGACTATGACATGTGGGGAGAGAGCCGGTTAAAGTCTGCTGAGACGTCTGGGAGATGGGGCCGTGCAGAGCTCCGGTTCAGTGCGGCCTCACTCCTCCATGTCCAGGCCACGCCCCTGAGCACCACTTTTCTATCTCTTGTTATAGATCAGGAACATGCCAATCTCTTGAGGAGAGTGTACATGTATCAAGCCTTACCATCTAGACTTCTCCAGAAGCAAACTCCAAATATCAGTCCAGACTCTGCTAGGAGCTGAGCTCTGCCACTCACAATAGTATGAATACCTACAAAAACTAGGGAACCCTTACCAGACTAGTTAGTTAAGTAAGAATGTGAAGGGTCCTGTCATCTCCTTACATTCTACAAGCTAGCATATGACTGTCAAGAAACTGCACTCATTAAGTGGGTGTAAAAAAGATAAAACTGTACATACCTGGACCAAGACCAAAGAAAAAGATAAACAAGAAAATGAACAATACACTGCAATATGGCATCCAGTCTGTCCAATCCTGGGGGAATATATAGAAGAGTAATGTAAACATGTCTCCCTTTGTCATTTTCTGTGCATTCTAATAAAAGGATAGACCTTCTATGTACAGATTACACCTTGGTGTCTCTTTACCTGAAAGGACAGGCTAACCGTGAGAAGAGCTAGCATGGTTGCCATCAGGGCATAACTTCCCAGCAGAAGAGCTTTTCTTTTACAGCGCTCTATCAGCACACTCTATTAGGAAAAGACAAAAAACACACACCAAGTAAAGAAACAGTAACTAGACAGATTATTGTGGACAGAACTCATTGTAGATTAACCATTTGTTGCAATGTGATTACAAACAAAAGTAGATATTGCTGATATATTTGTTCCCCCCTTTAATTGGGTAAAGTGAAATATTGCTTATGAATATTTCATATTTGCCACTTACAGCCAGCAGGTGTGAGCCTCTGAGCCAACTCTATGTTCTCCGTAGGCTCTTTCTTACAGCAGTTGTGCTGTAAAGAGCTGAGTAGGTGAAAGGGGGAAGCAGAACCTTATTTTTTCCTAGGAGAGACTGTTTAGTCTGCAAAGTTTACCAAAAAGCATGCTGACAGTGCTGGGTTTTCTTGTTAAAAAGCCCAGAATGCTTTGTAAACTGAATATCATGCATGTACCCTGTAATTCATTATTTATCGATTAAAAATGCTATATGATATTTTTAAAACATAATATCACATCAGTTTATACACTTGGTGTCCACAAGCATTTAAGTGCATCAGTCACATAATCCAGCTATTTTATTATTCTGAATAGGTCTACAAAAAATGGTCTGTGCGACCAGGCAGGCTTAGTACCCACTAGGGAGGCACGGGACAATACGACTAGGGTCATAATCGTGATGTATGCCTCTCAGTCTTAATCCATTCCATTCATGCTTCTGTCCACGGATGCTGAGAAGGCATTTGACAGGGTTCATTGGAGGTTCATGGTCTCTATCTTACAGTACTTGGGCCCGGGCGGACGGATGCTGGCTTGGATTAGGGGGATTTATTCTCCTCTTAATGCACAGGTTAAGATTAACCTTGCTCTGTCTCACCCATTGGTGATTACCAATGGTACAACGCAAGGCAGCCTTCTACCCCCCCTACTTTTTATCCTTACTTTGGAATCTTTCCTTTGTAAAATACGGTCCCATCCTGATATCACAGGTTATTCAATCGGTACGGCTGCTCCCCAAAAAGTAGCAGGCTTTTATCTTACCCAGTCGTGTTCTTGCCCAATTTAGTAGAGGAATTCCGAATATTTGGCAGGCTATCCAATTTCCTAATTAACTATTGCAAATCAGAGGCACTGAACTTATCTATCCCGGTTCCGTCAGTGTGCAATCTTCGAGCCTCCTTCCCTTTCCAATTGTCCACGTCAGCAATCAATTACTTAGGCACCGTGATACTCAGTAACCTCTCTGAGACTTTTGCCCTCAACTTTCCACCACTACTCCTTAAATTGAAACAGGATTTACTTCAATGGACTTCCAGCAGATTCTCCTGGTTCGGGAGATGCAATATCATTAAAATTAACATTATGCCCTGGATCATATATTTATTCCAGGCATTGCCAATCAGGATCCCGAATTGGCTTCTTAAATCTATAAATAGGTTGTTATCTCTAAGGTCTATGGTGGAATTGGACTGCCTGATGCATCTCTTTATTACGCAGCCTGTCACCATGCTTGCATTTTAGACTGGTCCAGTAATAGAGACTTGAAGCCCTGGGTGCTGGTGGAACAAGCGGGTCTAGATGTTCCTCTACACTCAGGGCCGGATTTACTCTCCCTGCTGCCCCAAGGCCAGGTTCCGCAATGCGCCCCCCTCCCCGCCAACCCCCAGCAATCTCCTCTCTCACTGTATACCCAGAGTGGCAGGGTTACTTTTAACCCTGCCACACTGCTCCCTGCATCGGCGGCAGGGACTCGGGGCAGGAGAGAGACTCGGCGACAGGGGAAGGACAGAGCCCGGAGGACGGAGCCACCGAGGAGAGACGTAGGTGGGGGTGTGTGTTTGGGGGGTTGCAGCGGGCAGGCTGCAAACTTAGTACAAGTACTTGTAAACGTACAAGCGGCTTCCCCACACTACATTTAGCCCTGCTTGTGCAAAGCAGGACTAAATGTAGAAAGCAACTTACCGCCCGGCGCCCGAAACTGCATGTCCCGGGCGTCGGGGGATTTCACACCGCCACTCTGTGCCCTGCCACCCCGAGACCGGGCCCCGGTGGGCTTGTGGGAAATCCAGGCCTGTCTACACTGCCTCCCCTGGTGTGGTTCCCATATACCACTATGTGTTCCAAATCTTCCCACGGTTGGGGCCACATGGAGTGTTAGTAGTAGATTCTTTAAGCCGACCATATATCACCACATCCTTCTCCCCTCTTCCCGATCCTGGGGAATCCATCCTTTACACCAGGACTAGAAAATGTTGTTTTCCGTTCTCCAGTGCAGTCCGATTACTTCCGGGCCATTCATTTTGTTTGAGACAGTACCTGGCCACCCAGAAATCTTCTTCTTTCAGACTCCAAGACGTATGACATGGATTTCTGGAAGAGTGTCCGGTTGTTCCATTTCCTTAGTTCACTGCCACCTGCAGCAAATTTTCCCATCCACTCACTACTTTTGAAAGGGAGTGTTTCCCCTTGGGTCCTCTTCACCATGCTGTCTCTTTCATATATTCTCTACTGATTACACCAACAGCTGAATTTGCACTGGAATATGTACGGAAATGGGAGTGGGATCTCAATGTCCAATTTGCTCAAAAACAAATATCCAAAACCATTCACTTCACCTTTATGTCCTCCATTCATACGTGCTTCCAGGAATCGGGATTCAAGCTCTTAAGTCGATGGTATAGAACTCCCCAGGTTGTGCATTCTCCTCTGTCCCGCATTGTTGCTTGAGGTGCAATGACTCGCCAGGTGACCTAGTAAACATTTTTTGGTCCTGCCCTAGGGTGATTTCTTTCTGGTCCTCTGTTAAGTCCACACTCAGTAACTTCACAGATAGAGAGATTCCGTGGGACCCAGCCTTTTTCCTTCTACACCATAATACCTTTCCCGGGAAATATTATAAAAAAATCTATTATTCCGCACCCACTGAATGCGGCCAGATGTTGTATTCCAGAACTATGGAAGACTGATAGATCACCCACGGTGTCAATGTGGATTCATAAGGTTGGAGAGGTGGAATGGATGGAGACCTGGTCTCGTCTAGTAGGGGTTCCCATGATACGCACTGCAAGACGTGGTTTTTCTGGATAGAATTTACTCAGATGCCTGAGTTCTCTGCTTTACTGCCAGAGGCTCCTGATTGAGACTTTACATTTTTTTCCCCCTGTTCATGCCCTTGATGCCCGGGGGCCGGCTTACCGCTCCACGGCGGATCTCTTACTTCTGTCTCTGCTTTATTCTTCTTTATCTGTTTTTCTCCCTCATCCCCCATTGTATTCCTCATCTAATTCTGTTCTATACCCCTAGCATATTACATACACCTAGGTGGCTACCTGAGCTTAAGTTGCCCTTAGATCTAAATCCTTGAGAATTGTTTAACTCAGTTCTTAACCCCCCACCCTTTTTTTTTTTTTGGGATATTAAGTTGACTCCGTTGTTCTGTTAAGTGTTTGCAATGGATAAGGTTCTTCTTGAGCTGACCTGGGAAAGGGGAGGTTTCCTCACCGTGATGTTGATTTACATCCATGTGATCCTAGTTATATTGTTCCTTATTGACATGTATGTCCTTCTACAGTCATTTTTCTTAATTCTTTACTGCTTTGTTTTTGATATTAAACATTTTCTAAATAAACAATATATTTTTAAAAAATCCGGGGGAGAGGGTGTAAACATTAATTTTTTGTGGGATTGTAACATTGTTTGTATAACCCAACAATATGCTTTTATAAAATCTTTTCCTGCACACAAAGGAAAATAGATGCAATTACATTTATTGTAGTATAATTGTGATTGCAATCAATCTGGAGAGTAATTTGGACAAACGTTTACCATCACTCAAGTATAGTCAAAAACTCAGAATAATGATTACACTATCCAAACAAATTCAAAACAGATGCCTTTGTGGCTAATGTAATATGTCCATGCACCTACATAACTTACTGTGTACTCAGGATAACTATAACTCATTAAAGGAGAACTATGAGGTGAGTGCTTTTCACTCACCTCATAGTTCTAGCCGACCTGTGACAATGAGACTGTCACAGGTCGGCTCAGTAGATCGGGAGGTGAGCGAACACATACCGGGTTCTCTCACCTCTCAATCCTGTCACGGCTCTCTGCCGTGACAGGGGAGGGGCTGGATTCCCCTCTCCCCGCTCCGATCCGCCAGCGCTGACTGGCAGAACGGACCGGGAAGGGGGCGGGTACAGCTGGCTCTGCCTCTAGATAGGCAGAGCCAGCTGTCACTCACGCAGCTGGGCGGATCTCGACATCGATGTCAGGATCCGCTCCGCCGTCTCAGTATACCGCGAGCTGCAGCTCGCGGTATACTGAGCCTAGGGTGACGGGAGGACACTAGTTTGTGTCCTCCCGTTACCCTAAGGAGAACTATAGGGAAAAGCCCTGACCCCATAGTTCTCCTTTAAGCTATTCACACGGAGCATTTGGTTTTAACATCTACAATAAGCATGTCATATACTATTCTTAAAGCATATCTTATACAGCTATGTTAAACACTGGTCCTAAAAAATAATCTCTATATATATTAAGTTGTTAAAAAATATAACAGTAAAGACACAGACGGAATCTTTATTTTTACTGGGGGAGCCATAATTTTTCTTATAAAACTACTCACACATATCATGACAGCCAGCAGTTCAAAGCTTCCCATTCCCAAGGAAATATAGGGGATCTTTTCTTTAGGCAGCCCAGCACTGAGAAATACACTTCTTGCGTAAAAGAAAATCTGAAAAGTTTTGAATTAATTAGAACATTACATCCATAATGTCAGACAGTGTGGAGGACACAGGAACGTTAAATGTACTAACAAATGGGAAGGTATATATAATATACATATATAAAATTGTCATCAAACTCAACATCAATGTACGCTGAAGGACACAAGCGCTTCACTTTAGTCTTCACTGAAGTTTTTTTTATCATTGGTCTTGTAATTCTTATCTATACACTATATTGGAGGACAATTTTAAGTTTCAGGCAACACTGTCTCATGGTCTGCCGCTGTACTACTTCTAGTATGTTAAGAATGCTCTCCAATTAATGTCAAATTATTATTTTTGTTCGAACCGATATATCTTAAAAACAAGGTTGCAGTATTCTTTTTTTGCCCGAACTAAGTAGAATCCACATGGTCCAAACATACTGCAAAGACTGTAAATGAGAAGCTACAAACCTTAATAACACAACACAGTAATCTGAAATATTCTGAGTTACTATAGACATTGTTCTAGATCTACCAATGCTAATGCAGTTATATTTGGGAACAAACATTAATATAGTGGATGTTTGAACACCATCAAAACCATCACTTTCGCTAAGAATACTACCAATTTTATCCCAGCATCACCTGAGAAAATGTCACAATGATGGGTTACTTTTACTGAAGAAAAGTCCTTTTTTCAGCAATACTGCCTGCAGCCTCCTCGCACTGAGTGCATCCAGCTTCAAGGAGGTTGTCCATTTAGCCCAATGCAAAGCAGGGGACCTGTCTTCAAATGGCACCCTCTAACGGTGGTCTCGAAGAGCTTCTTTACAGCATAGATGTATGCAAACGCAATGCCAATCCATATGCTGGAAATAGGATTGGCCTTGTCTATAGGTAGGCAGGGCAAGTATATAATATTTACAAAGCTGCAGATAACATGCAATATATAACGCCTGGAAACTAAATGTCTCCACCACATGTATATACAGTTGTGTGAAAAAGTGTTAGATCATCAAACAAATTTAAATATTAGTCAAAGATAACACAAGTAAGCACAACATGCAGTTTTTAAAGGAAGGTTTTTATTATTAAGGGAAAACAAAATCCAAATCCACATGGCCCTGTGTGAAAAAGTGTTTGCCCCCATAAACCTAATAACTGGTTGGGCCACCCTTAGCAGCAAGAACTGCAATCAAGCGTTTGCGATAACTTGCAATGAGTCTGTTACAGCGCTGTGCAGGAATTTTGGTCCACTCATCTTTGCAGAATTGTTGTAATTCAGCCACATTGGAAGGTTTTCGAGCATGAACCGCCTTTTTAAGGTCATTCCACAGCATCTCAATAGGATTCAGGTCAGGACTTTGACTAGGCCATCCAAAGTCTTCATTTTGTTTTTCTTCAGCCATTCAGAGGTGGACTTACTGGTGTGTTTTGGATCATTGTCCTGCTGCAGAACCCAAGTTCGCTTCAGCTTGAGGTCACAAACAGATTGCCGCACATTATCCTTCAAGATGTTTTGGTAGACAGCAGAATTCATGGTTCCATTTATCACAGCAAGTCTTCCAGGCCCTGAAGCAGCAAAACAGCCCCAGACCATCACACTACCACCGCCATCTTTTACTGTTGGTATGATGTTCTTTTTCTGAAATGCGGTGAAAAAGTTCAACTTTTGTCTCGTCAGTCCACAGAGTATTTTCCCAAAAGTCTTGGGGATCATCAAGATGTTTTCTGGCATAACGGAGACAAGCTTTTATGTTCTTTTTGCTCAGATCGGTTTTCGTCTTGGAACTCTGCCATGCAGGCCATTTTTGTCCAGTCTCTTTCTTATGGTGGAGTCATGAACACTGACCTAAACTGAGACAAGTGAGGCCTGCAGTTCTTTGGATGTTGTTGTGGGATCTTTTGTGACCTCTTGGATGAGTCGTCGCTGCGTTCACGGGGTAATTTTGGTTGGCCGCCCACTCCTGGGAAGGTTCACCACTGTTCCATGTTTATACAACTGTACATGTACTACATATATCTTGCTGACCCAAGATAGTGAATGACTCTGCTGGAAGGCAAGGCTTGGTAGAAGCTGGATTCTCACAGGGCGATGGTAACTCTCTTGGGAGAATGCAAGAAGAAATCTGCTAACTAGACTGGATTCTGCTATATACAGTGATGCTACTATTGGCTGTCTGCACTGTATAACTAGGAAGTGGACATAGAGTCTAGAGTTGGCATTTGTCTTGGGTGTCTGTAGCACTTAGCCCTCTCTACTAATGAGCTGCTATGGAGAATAATGTCTTCAAAACACCTTGAAGTGACTGGCACCCAACTTACATTTGCACCTAGCCAAGTACTTAGCCCTGAGGTAAAATGCTAGCCCTCCCAACCGCTGTGGTCCTTCACATGCTTCTGGAGATCAGCGGGTGGTGCACTTACATACAATTTCTCTTTGTTAAAATATATCTGAAATTTAGCATTACTATGTGTCATCATATAGTCAACTACCCCTACTTATTAAGTTAATGATTAATGCTCAATATTCAAGAAATCACTCAACTGCATTGATGCCAGACAGCTGAAGGGTAATTGTGATGATCACCACAACATAGAGCTGCCAGCGCATAGATGGCTCCTTCATAACCTCCAGCACAGTCATGTTTTTGGTGTTCTTTCGCATCTCCTTCTCTGCCAGAATATCATCTAGTTCTAATTGGTGGTCTCCATGTCCCCATATCTTATTCATAGCTAAGTAAAGGAAGACAGACATAAATTGAATAATGCACTTTGTAATTTTGGTCTCTATGTTTTCACATCTTGTGCATAATTAAGAAATGCAGATAGAGAAGAAAGTATTCTTTAATTCTATTTAATGTGGGCCTAGCAGCAATTCAGTGTCATCCAAGCAGTTAGACAAGCCCCTGCACTAGACAATTGGTAATAAATTTAAAAGAGATTGTTCACTCAGAGTTTAATATGTATGGTCAGCTTAAGATTTTTTTATGCAAACAAGTGCCCTGGCAAACCTGACAACCAGAATATTTAGTTGACATACGTCATGGGTTCTTTCTAGAACCTTGGTGCCCAAAAAGGGTCCCTCTAATCAGGTCTGGAACACAGTGGAAGGGCATGTTGAGTGACAGGGGCTCTGGTGGGTTTTACCGCAAGAACTGCCAGCTGTCAGTGACAGCCGAGGTCCAGCCCTATACCTAGGAGCTAAATTGATCAGCTCATTGGCTTCTGCTTCTGCTACCAAACTCCCAAAGGAGCACTGGCAGCAGGCAATGTAACACAATGTGGAAAAATACTTCCTTATTGTGTTTACGTTGTTAGCAAAATTACATCACAGCGATTCCTATTAGAATGGAGGCTTGGGCAGAGCTGAAACAGCTCTGTCCAGCCTTTCCCTGCAGCAGTAGATGCCTGCCATAATGATCTATTGCTGGCTTATTGCAGCCAGCAGTAGATCACTATTAGAAGTGATCAGTTGCTGCAAAGCTGCATGGGGGGGCTGAATCAGGTCTCCAATGGCCAGATCCAGCTCCCTGCCATGAAGAACACATTTAAAGAACGGCTATTATTACACTTAATAAAATAGTTTTTAAAAAATGTCTCCCAACTTATCCTAAGGTCACTTTAAATAAGTGAGATGTCCTGGGTGACATTTATGATTACTGTGTCATTCGGAATTTTAACAAATTTTAATGCACCTTTAAAAATTAGACATTACTTTTTTTTTTTTAAATGCAGAACCCTGCAACTAACAGCTTGTGCATTATGGTGTGATTCAAAACAGATGGCACTGCAGCGCACACACAACAGTGCACAGGTTACCATTTGTGATGGTGCCATGGCAGAACTAAACTATTGTACAGCCCTCTGGACATATCGGGGGCTGCACTTGAGGCTCCCAATATATTTACTGAGTTGATCAAAACTGATCTAAGGAGATGAAGGAAGGCATTAAAGTGAATTTATCATTGCTACAATGTATTTGTTATGTTTTCAACAGAAAGTATAACTGCTGTATGTCCAGAATCATCAAGAAAATGAAGTGGAGGTCCATATTTCCAGGGAAGTATTGGATGTCAGGTTTATTTATATTTGTATGACCTAAAAGTGTCAGCAGTTACATAAGGAAAGGAGCCATTCACGAATGCTGTTTTCTTGATCTCAGGTATTATTAGAGTCATGTGGATCCCACAAATACAAAGTTTTGTGCACACAGAGGGGTGTTATTTCTGTAAAGCTGCAGTGGGAAATATAGATATACATACTGTTTCCTAAGATTCTTGCAAAGAACCAAAGTCTTACATAAAAGCCAGCACCACAAGGAATATTATGGAATGTATATAGTATAAGGTTTATTTCTGTTTTGATATTGTTGACATTGACAGATCCCAGGGAGAGAAACTGTGTGATCAGGATGCACTGGACTATCTAGAATGATAGCAACAGTGACATGTAAACTATACATCTATATATTTCTGTGAAATATTACAATTTCTTTTTGTAGAGGAATATATTATTTTATTTTATAGCTCTGTTTTAACAATGCAGTGCTTTCATATATTTCAGTAATTGCTGTGCTCCTCAAAACAAATAATGTCCCTTAATTTATTGGAATAAGACAGGCAAGAGGCATATGCAGTAGAACTTTACTTTACTTAGTACTCTTACTTATTCTCATTACAATTTCTGTAAAATTTCATAATGTTTACTTTTTTCTTTATTTTACTTTTCTCTTTCCAAAATGTTGATATAATATAATTTCTAACAAAGTCTAATTTCAAAAAGATGCTAAAGCTATTATTTCCTTTTTTTTTTTTCTGGCCGTTGTTACCTCTCATACAGCGCTCCCGATCGCTCTTCACTAAAAGAAGGTATGCAGGGGTCTCTGGATAAAAACGCATTACTATCAACTGCAGAAGATCAGTAAAACCGCACAATGATATCATCAGGGGCCACAGTTCCTCTGTTCCCAGGACCTCACTGGAAAATAAGAATATTTTATGAGTCAGTAGAAAAACATTTGTGACCTTCGGGCACAGACTTACTAGCTCAACAAGTTGTCCCCTTAAACTCTTTTTAACAGCATATTCACTCCATTACTAAATATCAAAATAATATTACACTAGAAAATAAACTTTTCTTTAACTTTCACAACCATTTGAATTGGAAAATCAATTTGAATATTTCCGTAATATAAATTAAATAAAACCTGACCAAAAACATTCAAATTAGCCAACCTAACATTTTTAAAAAGGAACTTTGAAATTCAGCCTCTGGGAGCCAGTATTGTAGAGGCCATAGGTCTAATTCCACAAAACTGCAACAAATAGGTATGAAAGACGTATACAGATTCTCCCACAAAAAATTGCAATCACAAAAATTACTTTTGAACTGAACTTCTGCATTTTACTTGTGTTCTTTTCTTAAAATAAAAAAAGGACACATCTAATTCCCCAATTAGCCATATCCTTAAAGGAAATCTGTCATAAACATAGATTCAGCCATTGCTGGCCTCTCCTGAAATGTTAGGTGCATTGATATCAATGTGGCCCTCCTAAACCACAAAGAAATATGCAAATACAGACTTCTGCTATTTCTCTGACTTTTCTATCTGTATATTGGTTCTAGGTCATTGAATCAGTAATTATTAAAGTGAGTCAACATGGCACCCAGGCAACTAATATTTTAAAAAGGAGATCACCAATGGCAACCCCTCACCCATTTTTATCTTTACAGGTGTATTTTAGTCTCACAGTGGAAATCAGATTCTTAGCCTCCCTCAAGATATTGCACGAAGCCAACATCCTAAGATAACAGAATTGGAGCTTACCAATATTGTACAGATTGGAGCAGTCATTCTCAACCAGGGTTGCACAAATGTTAGGGGGTACTTCTACACTGACTACAATTAAAAGGGGTACTTCTACGCTGACCACCTATGTAAAGGTGCACTTACACTAATCACCAATGTGAGGGAACATTTCTACACTCACCGCCAGTGTAATGGAACATTACCAATATACTGACCACCAATGTAATGGGCTCCATGCTGACCCTATGTTAGGGGGGCATTTTTTCCAATGACCACCAATGTAAGGGGAAACTTTTTTTTTATTCATCAATGTAAGAATTTAATTGCATTGTGATTGTAATGTCTTCCTTTTGTTTTGATTGTAAAATGCTGCGCAAACTGCTGGCGCTATATAAATCCTGTAGTATAATAATAATAATATTGTACGAGACACTGTGCATTGTTTTGGCTATTATTATTTGGGGTTGCACCGATACCGATACTAGTATCAGTGCCGATACCGAGTATTTTGACGAGTACTGTTACTCGCCGAAACGCTCCAATATCTTCCCTCATACCGGAACTTCCTGGCCAATCAGCATGGAGCTGGCTTCCCTGATACCCCGAAAAACCGGTATCGGTGCATCCTTAATTATTATTATTTGTTTCACTTATTATTACTGAAGATATTTTCTGCACAGCTGCAGTGTTAAAAAAAAAAATCTGCTCTGACCCACGTATACTGACCACCAATGTAATCTTTTTTAAGCTGTCAGAAAATACAAGTTTAAATGCCATGGAAGTATAGGGGAAAATATCTATTGGGCTTTGCTGAGCAAGTGGATGCCAATGGGACTTTATGTCTTTAATATTATCTACTGTATTGAAGGTTTTGGCATGCTTATTACGTTTTATCTCTGTTCCTCTTATTATACTTTTGACCTTTGATAGCTTGCTGAGTTGAATTGGCCCTGTGTATTTTTTCCTTTTTTCTTTTTTTAATTGTTCTTCTGCATTAGCGGTTAAAAATAAGAAATATAAGAAATTATATATATATATAAAATATATATCTGGTCTGGGTGTCAAATTTGCCACGCAAACCACATACTTTTTCCTTTATTTATTATTATATCTAAAATATACTGATCAACCAAATGTAGCATGAGCTACAGCTATAATAGCTTTATCATGAGTTCCCTGAGACCAGCAAGTTATATAAAAGTTTCCTCATTAGTAAACAAGTTTGAAAAAGTCTAGAGTAGAACAATACATATTCACCAGCTCATTATAGATGGATGGATTTTAAAGACTTGCAAGACTATAAAAGCATCATGACTGAAAAAACTCAGATTTATTAATTGCTTCTATTAACTTTAAGAGCCATAATTAAAGTGTATTATCATTTCCCCATTCACATGCCACATACCGAACCACTTTAACCTTAACTCCAAGTCCCTATCTTTACAACCCATACCTTATCCTTTTTCTTTTTCTGACCACTTTACCTAGACTTTTCTTTCTCTCTCTTGGTAAATGTCTCCTTTTTTAATTCTTTTCCTGATCACAGAATATAAACAAGTCGGCCTAAAGTACCAATGTTTTATATTTCCGACAATACATTTTTATGAGGAGAGCCACATCTATTGTAAGCATTATAAAAGGATTATTTTATGGTGGTTGTGATACATTGAGCTAAAGCTTACTTGAGCCCAACAATTTGTCCAAACAGCTTTCCCATGGTTACAAAGAAGGGACCTGTGGTATTAGTGAATCCCCGAAGGTTCCTTGGAGCAGTTTCTCCAAGGTACTGAACGTAAATATTCATTCCCAGACCTGACAATACAAAAATTCTGTTTACATCCGATAATCAACATACATGTTTTGGAGACAGGAAAACTCTTATAATGGATGAAATATATATATGTTTATATATAACATATAAAGCTAGTCTATCATTCATGCAATGGAATGTAATGATTGCAGTAGCCTGTAAATAAAGATGAGTGGAACAATTAATATATTTACTTCTTATTCATTGATTATGATACTAAATATTTAACATGAATAGTCCTAGGGAAGATCAAATCAGGAAAAGCAGTTTACCAATTTTTATTCTCATGTAAATCTGTCTGATCTGTGGACAGTCATCCAATTTAGAAATGCAGGGCACCACGATTCAAGAGTTGCATGATTCTCATTAGACTGGACAAATCTCCATGCGTATATTCAAAAGAAACCACAAATTTACAAATCACCTGCTTTTAAATGGAATCAGCTCATCGCAAGTACTAATGTGTACAATAACTTTGGGAAAATATGTTTACATAATTAGCTATATTTTGACTAAAGGACCTATTTATAAAGAAAAGCAGTGTCCACTTTCCACACATGACAAAATATAAATGCAAATATCTCACACTGTACCCCCAATTTATAATTTATTTTAAAAATGCAGAAAGAAGCATAGCCCCCCCCCCCCACACACACACATGCACGCACGCACGCACACACACTTGCTGATAGCATCATGACATGACCTTTAACAAGTCAAATGACAGGTAGCTTCCTCCCAGCACATTTTTCCCCCATTCATTATAATAAATCAGGCTTCCCTGCTCTTCAACCATACTGGTTCCATACTGCTACATTAAAATGGGCCCCTAAGTATTAATGCTTTAGATGTGCTTGGAGATCTACCTATTGCTATGCCATAAAGCAACCTTCCAGCCACAATCATTTCAAAGGATCCCACCATCTTGCTGAATCCAAAACACAGTGATGCTGTTATTCCCATCAAGCTACTAAGCACATGAGGTGCTTTTCTGAAAAGAAAGCAAAAACAATCATCCATTAGTGGTCAGAATATAATACGGTTGAGTAAAGATATTTCATGATTACAACTGAAGGCCAAATTCCATAGGGTAACCGGGTAAGGGGCCCCAATAGACCTGATGAAGGCCACATTTCCCTCCCTTATCTCTTAAAATACCACAAAACCTTGGGGGCCAGAAAAAAATGTATTTAATAACAGAACCAACTTAAAATATTTAGTAATTCATTCTGTGACTTAGATTACTGCAGATTGCCAAGGAATAATAGAATGGAGTGGGCAAACGATCCAGTGAACTTGTTCCTTTGCCATGAATAGTCTATGTTTGCTCTAAGTCTCTGCTCCATTTTATAAAAAATCTTTTAGTTTAACATCTGCTATTGTGGGGGGTTCTGAGAAAATCACATAAAACATGTATTCTACCCCTTACCTGTGAATACACCCAGAATCTACACAGAGCTGGCAGATGCTCAATATACTTAAAACTTAAAGATGAATTTCAGACACATAAAAACAAATAACTAAAATGATCTAGTTATTCAAAATCATTATTTGTATTATTAAATGCAGCTATGATAAGTACATGAATATGTCTTGATATCAACTTCCTGTAATATCCTGTGCAGCAACACTGAGAGAGGGAGGGCCGACATTGGGGGCCAGTCAAAGAGATGATCTCACTGCCTCTTCAATTGCTTTACCTGCTGCTTCTGTGCAGCTTGAGAATTATTGTCTGGCAGAATTGCAGAAATCACAAATCTGGCTTCAAAACGTTACACATTTTTGACAACTAATACAGGTTCCATTTATGTATTTCGACTGTGTATTGAGCTGCTTCTGGAGGCAATACTAAAACATCTAGGATCATCCTAAAACCCATTTACACATTTTTGTTGGGTCACACCATCAATTACTACAATAAAACTTCCAAAAAATCTATAGAAAAGTATTTTTTGGGAATTCATACACTAAGGGGAGGATTTTCTATAGATTCAGCATTCATAGCATCTCATTAAATAGTTCATGTGCTAGTTAGACATTTTAATTTGTTGCTCCTTATTCCTGCTGTTTATGGTAATTATTGTATAGCAAATCTAATGAGCCTGTAGCAAATAACCACCTTGTCTGGCAGAAGAATCATCCATACCTGTTCAGTAGCACATGCCATCACCATGTATTACAGCAGTTGGGCAAACATACTTACTTCCCAAACCTTCGTGTCAGGAACCCAGATGCTACTGATCCCAGGAGGCCACCAAGACTGAGCACTGAAGCTGTCGTGGACCACAGCAGAGTAAGTGTTCCCTCAGGGACAGGGGATCCATACCTTCTTATCCAGGTCTGGTTGATAACGTTTCTGACAAACTGCAGAGGATATGAATTGAGGTGTTGTGGGAATACAATGGCCAGAGAGAAGATCATCCAATGACTTCATTATTCTAACTAGTTCAGTGTTTTGATGGCAAAGAGATCTACATAGAAATAAATGTATTACATTATTGAGGTATAACCCTACAGGGCTATCATTAACCTTAAGGTAGGTACAGATATTAGATGGCAGTTAAACTTTAGTAAACATCCATCCACTGAAAAATCTTTGCTCTGCACTACATGCTATATATGTACTCTAGAATTATAAGAGAAGATGCCAAGCATTTCCCTTAGACCCAAGAGACTGTATAAAAAAAGAGCTAGAAATGGATGTTCTTAAAGTGTTAAGTTTGTCCAAACTACTAATTTCTAGAAGTCAGAGTTATTAGTTAGAATGTATATTCAATGTTCACTATACAGATGGGGGAATTTATCAAAACTGAAGCAGACAAAATCTGGAGCAGATTTGCACTACAACCAATCAGCTTCTATCTCTTATTTTCAATTCTCAACTGAGCAAACTGAAGAGAAATGTTGACTGGTTGCCCAGGGCAACTGCTTCAATTTGGATAAATTCCCCCCCATTGTATTTAGAATGTGTAGCCTACTGAATTGATATGGATAGCTGGTCCAAATGCATAGGAGGATTCCTTCCTTTTGAAATCTCAAAATGTTATTACTCAACAATTCCATGCTGAAAGGAAAAACCAGGCAGTGATCTACTAATGCTACCTAGCAAACACTGCAGCTATGCTGAACTCAAAAAGTGAACTCAATTTACCTTATTTTAAATTGTTTGTAATCCACTGTGGGTACTGGCTAGGCCTGAATGAAGTTTATCAAAGAGTCAAGGTAGGCTGTATCCTTGGTGTGCATCTTAATTTTGCTACTGAACTGCACCTTTAAATTCTAGCAAAGTGTGGCCATTTAATGAACAATGGAAACTACTGTCGTGCAGCATATACATTGTGTTCAAGCATTAAATACATTTATAAAAAATAGAATATCTAGAAATTCAGATAATTGTGTTCTTAATGTTACTATGTAAGATAGACTGATACATTATATACAATAATTATTATGATACATTATTAAAAGAAGCAGAAGGTGAGCAGTGAGGGAAAATAAGAAACTAGGGAACTCCCCATACCATTTTTTCAAGACCAAATACAAGTACTTTCCCTCAGGTACTTGCCGATACCAATTACCAATACTTTTTCTTATAGGGACATGTGAAATTTTTTCTAAAAAAATACAGACTAATGATTTTAGGGCAGTTTCATTATAATTATGAAGAACTGTAACTCAATCCATGATTATTCAGCAATGGAAAACGGCAACCAAAAATAGAAAACTACAGATCTCATCAATCAATCCATGATTATACAGCAATGGAGAATGGAAACCGGCTAAAGTGGATTACAGATCTTAGCAATCCATGATTTTTCAGCAATGGAGAATGGCAACAAGCAATCATGGATTGCTGAGATTTTTAGTCCTCTATAGCCAGTTGCCATTCTCTGTTACTGTATAATCACTGATTATACAGCAATAGAGAATGGCAACTGGCTATAGAGGACTACAGATCACATCAATCCGTGATTATACATCAATTATACAGGGCTGCGTGCAGGTCTCACCAGGGCTGTGTTTGGGTATGACCAGGGCAGTGTTTGTGCCTCACCAGGGCTGCGTGCAGATCTCACTAGGGTTGCGTTTGGGTCTCACCAGGGCTGCGTACAGATCTCCCCAATGCTGTACAGGTGGGTGCCGGGCTCTGCAGGCAGGTCTCCAGGGCAGAACGGGCAGTTTCTGGGCTTGTTCTGGGCTCCAGAGCTGTAGGGTGTGGGGCTGTCTAGTGCTCTGCCGGTCTCTGCGGGTGTCGGGAAGGAGGAGGAGGAGATGTGCAGCCCGACCGGCACTGTCAAAGATAGGTCCCCAGCAGGCTGCTCCTGAGGTCCTCAGCAAGCAGTGGACCTCAGGCAGCCCCCCTTGTTTAAAATTTAAAGGGCTGGTATCGGTTTTTAATATCGGGGCATTTTCATGAGTACAAGTACTCATGAAAATGCCAGATATCGTGACATCCCTAGCAGAAACAAAAGCAAACCGTGCAAACATTGCTGCGGCATAATCCTATTTAACTATTTGAGCCCTATTGTCTTCCTCCTGTAAAAAACATATGTATTTGTTACATTTCTATGTTTCAAGTGGTAGTGATTTAGTTATCCACCCATTTATAGTTTGGGTATTCACTGGCATATATTATTGTCAGTTTGAGTCTCTGGAGTCTATTATAATGCCAACCCCTCCATAGTCCTACTTACCAGTGATGAAGAGTTGATCACAGACACATGATAGCCAAGTGGCAAGCCACTACCAAGGCCCAGCACAATGATTAATGGAAGCAGCCTCCAATGATGGGCCTGGAAGAACAGAAACAAAAATACTAAATAGTATATTTGTTAGGCAACATGTTAACATGTTGTTATGTAATAAGCCTCTTGTTTATATGTATGTATGTATGTATGCACAACTTGTCTAATGAATGCATATATTGATATATTTAAAGCTGTACAGTACACATTGGGGGGATTTATCAAAACTGGAGCAGATTTGCACTGCAACCAATCAGCTTCTATCTTTCATTTTCAAATCTCAACTGAGCAAACTGAATAAAGATGCTAATTGGCTGCCATGGGCAACTGCTTCAGTTTCTGTCTGCTCCAGTTTGATATATTTATCATATCGGTGGTACACTGAATATATTTGCTGCATCATGGGCTTGGGGCAAACAACTAACTTCCCTGATTGCTTAGTAGACTGGTGGATGTCCAGGCCCCATAATTTAAAGGAGAACTATGAGGTGAGTGCTTTTCACTCACCTCATATTTCTAGCCGACCTGTGACAAAGAGACTGTCACAGGTCGGCTCAGTAGATCGGGAAGTGAGCGAACACATACCGGCGTTCGCTCACTTCTCGATCCTGTCACGGCTCTCTGCCGTGACAGGGGAGGGGCTGGATTCCCCCCTCCCTGCTCCGATCCTCCAGCGCTGACTGGCGGAACGGACGGGGGAGGGGATGGGTACAGCTGGCTCTGCCTCTAGATAGGCAGAGCCAGCTGTCACTCATGCAGCTGGATGAATCCAGACAAAATTGTCGGGATTCAGCTGCGGCGTCTCAGTATACCGCGAGCTGTAGCTCGCGGTATACTGAGCTTAGGGTGACGGGAGGATGCTAGTTTGTGCTAGGACGCTAGTTTTTGCTAGTTTTTTAATTTAACATTCGATTGAAATGAATGCAGCTTCCTGAACAAAAAAACACATTCACTGTTAGAATTTCGTTCGCTCGAGAAAACATTTCCAATATGCTCCTTTGACTTTGTTCATCACTGCGGTTGAAATTGATCATCGACTTGACCCCATCAACTATCAGAAAGTCGAATAAACATTCAGAAATCGATTTGGTTCATATGAAATTCGCTCAGTGTATACCCTACTCAAGCAGTATCCACAAAAATCTACCTTTTCTGAAAGTCTCATAAGATTTTGGGTGAAATTTGGTGTCACCGCCTTGCTGCTTACTGTTGTCCTTTCTGAAGAGCAAGCAGTACCTGAGGGCATGCAGTGCAAGGATTGCCTTGATTCTACTTAATTCAATTTGTGGATCTGTGATTCCTCCTTTTTTTAATAAGGCTTTCTCTGTTTCAGAGACAGAAATAATATCACCAGCAGGGCTTTGCAGGATCACCAGATTACACATAAGGCCTTATTCACACTGGGCATACACATCTGCGCGTCGTGCACGCCCATAAACAGCCGATCCCAGGAGGGACAGGTGCTGCTTGTGATTGCGCGCAGCAGCCCATTCTTCCCATATAGGAGGACGCGGCTGTAATGTGTCATCTATGCGGATACGGGTGTGGACACTCGTACCCGTATGACACCGTACATCCACGCCCTCCCATAGGGAAGAACAGGCTGAACCTGTCCTTCCCGGGATCCGCTGTTTATAGACGCGCACACTGCACAGACGTGTACGCCCAGTCAGAGGCGTAACTAGAACCTCCAGGGCCCCGATGCAAGAAACCATGAAGGGCCTCCCCCAACCGCCATGGCACTGCATGGTTAACAGGAAGGCTGCCGAGGTCCCTTGCAAGTGCGGGACCTCAGGCAGCCGCTTGTTTAAATTTTAGTGACGGTGTTCTGTCGTGAACGCCGACTCAGTATCTGTGCTTACGTACAGACGGGATTAACGAGGAAATCGGCATTTATTTACAAAGTATTCGTTTGTAATGGTTAATTGTGACCATACATGGCAGTAAATGATGGATGGAATATTATTAACAGTAACAAATAACGATTTAAATGAAATACTTTGTGAATAAATCCCTTTTCCCTCGATAATACTGGTCTGTGCGCAAGCGTAGATGCTGAGGTATATATATACACACATTTTTACAGTTATATATATTGTATATTATATAGGTATGTGTGCACTCACCAGTTCTAAGAAAAAGCCACCCATATCGGACAGTTCTGTGACACAGATGAGTTGAATGATTACTGTGAACTTCAGCCCAGGACACAGCAGAGAGCAAAGGGTTGCTTTTGTTTAATTTGGATCAATCACTGGTCAGCTGGGGCCGACGCCATGAGCCAATAACAATGCTGTACTGCACAATAGGCAATTATCGTAACATGAACCTCAACATAATACTAAATCACACAAAAGTATCTCAATTTCAAACTTGTAATGCACATGTCTAAAGAATGTTATTAGAGGCTAAGCACACCTAGAGGGATACATTCATCATTCTGCACCTGCAAAATAGGTAAAAAAATCTGGTGACACACATAGGAATAGTGAGAAGTGCAGAGACAAATCTTTGAACGATATATGAAACCCTTGATTTACCGATCTGGAACCAACAAAAAAATTAAAATACTGGTTTTGGAAGTATATGTACATAAATAACCAATAGAAAATAACTCATTGTGTAATATTGTGTATAAAAAACACACCCTACCAGCAGCCTCTCAACAAGATAAAGATGTATCAGTAGTGTTTCACCCCAAACACAGCGCTCACTTATAAGTGAATAAAGATAAAAACAAAAACAAATGAACCAAGAATAAGTATACAATGTGTAACAAAAGTGTCATTGTGAATATCTTAATCAAAAGTCCATAACAGTCCAACAGTGTAATCATTAGTGCTTATCCACCTTCACTGTGCTCCCATCCACATATTGGGTCAGCTTGTCATTTCTCCACCATTGTCATAAGGACAGACTTGAGAGTGCTCTTGAGGAAGTCTATAGATGAGGAAACGTGACTACTGACATCACTGTTGCTGTTTTTTTTTTTTTCTGGGAGAAAATAGCCTTTTGCTTGGAAAGTTGTTGGCCTGTATATTTGCTTCAGGAGCTTATGTTCTTGTGCTGGATGTAGCACACTTGGTGGAACTCTTTACCCCAACCTGTCCGTCTATCTCCCACCTTGACTGCCTTTAGGCGTTCCCTAAAGACTCATCTCTTCAGGGAAGCCTCTCCTGCCTCAACCTAACCACAGAACCTTCACATTCTCAAATAATTCATTCCAACAGCTACCTCCTCATGTATAATTTCCCCCTCCTCTTTCAGATTGTAAGCCCTCAGGGGCAGGGCCCTCCTTACCATCTTGTCTTGAATTGTATTATAACTGTAATGTCTTCCTTATATTGTAAAGCGCTGCGCAAACTGTTGGCGCTATATAAATACTATGTAATAATAATAATAATATATGATTGAGAGCCTCATGGTGGAGAAATGACAAGCTAACATAATGTGTGAATTACGGAAAGAGAAGGGGAATCGACATTGATGGTCTTGTTTTGAACTATGTATATACTGTAATTCCAAGGTTGCATCGCCTCTGGGGAGTTTTGTGTGTGGACGGGAGCACAGTGAAGGTGGACAGTGTTGAAGCCTAATACTAAAAACACTAATAATTACACTCTCCAAAAGATCAGTCGCACAGAAGCCATGGTAAGATGTGGTGTTGGGGGAGACACTCATGTAAATGCTGATCATTATTCTTTTGGATCTGTCTTTTTGGGATTTGCTTGGATTTATTTCAATAAATTTTGGACAACACTTACCCTGGCTTCTGTGTGGCTGATCTTTTGGAGATTGATTTGGGAAGTGAGAGGCACACTACAGCCTGCACCCAGATAGTGAATTTACTGCAGCTGAGGTTGCAATAGAGCAGGGAGTCCCTGGAGCTCTTTGACCACTAATAATTACACTGTTGGACTGTTATGGATTTTGGGTTGATATATTCAAGGACACTCTTGTTACACATTGTATATTTATTTTTGGTTTCATATAATTTTGATTATTTCACATAAACACACTTATACATATCATCAAAATAGAGATATTACAACATAGTTTTATCCCAGAAATAACATAGACTATACATCTCTCCATATAAAAATATCTACTACATTGCTTTTACTGTCTTTCATATCTATATTCATTAATTCTGCATTACCCAGCCACATATCATCCATTACTTCTCTTCTACACTTTTCTCACACTTATTCTACTAACATATCTTATTCTGGAAAGGGAGGGGGAATACATTTCTAAGTTAATTTATGTAAACTTCCGTCCGTGTTAAATTCTTCAAACCATGTCCTAAGACCAACTTGCCCTCTCAAACCTTCCTTTATAAATATTACTCACACTGCTTTGTGTTCTCTCCTTATATGTGTTCTATACTACAGTGTCTATGAACCAAAACCTTCTACTTTAATTATATTGTTTCCCCTTTATTCCCTATGCCCCCCCCCCCTACACTCCCACTAATACTTGTGTTCTCATTGTACCTTAAAGTGACATTAAACCCTTAGATTTTTTAACATAAAACAATACTGTAATGTGTGTCTTACTGTAATCCATGGTTGTTTCCCTTCTCTTTGCTGCTCATCCTTTATCTAAAAATATACCCCCTAAAATTCCTTTACAACCCTGTGAAAAACTGTTCTCCCTCCCTAACCCATTTAACTCTTCAGAAATGATATCTTTAATCCTCACTCAATCTCCCCTCCCTCCAGCATGCTATCCTCATTCTTCTCTACACGTCCAAACTTACAGGTCAAATGTTACAAAATCTATTGAAAAATAACTCAATATATTATTTATTTGTACCTCTCTGGGATTTATCTAAATACAGTTTTGCCCTTGTATATATTTACTTATAGTTTCTATGGCTCTAAGGAAACTTCACCTCTATACCCCTTCCTTTGCTCTCTATCCTTCTTTACCAGTCTCCTAAATTCCTCTGTCTGTCTGTATACTTCCCACTTCTCCCATATCTTATCGTATTTATCCTTCCTGTCGATGTCCCTTGCGCTCAATTCATCCAAATATCTTATTTCTTCCATTATGTTCCCCCAGCTCTCTAGTGAAGGTGGGTCCACAGTTTTCCAGCCACGTGATATAATAATTCTAGCTGCAGCTAATACAAATCTTAAGATATCTGTCTTTATCTTTTTTATGGGGCCAGGAATTAATGATAATAATGCAATTGAGGGATCCTTTTCCATATTTGGAGCCCCTATGGAACGATAGACTTTGAATATTGATTCCCAGTACGACTGCAATCTAGGACAGCTCCACCAGATATGCAAATACGTTCCCTCCTCAATACTACATCTCCAACATCTATCTGACATTTCTGGGTTTATATGTTTAATTCCTTCCGGGCACCTGTACCATCTAGACAATACTTTATAATTTTTTTCCTAATAAAATGAAGATGTGACAGAACTATGTGTCATGGTAAATATTCTTCCCCAATCCTTCTCTGATATCTCTTTCCTCAGATCTTGTTCTCATCTCTTCATGTACTTTGTGTGCCCGTTAGCTTCCTCCTCTCTCAATAGACCATAAACCAGCGATAATGCATGTTCGGTAGTTGTTCCCTTCAAGCATAGTTTCTCAAACGGCGTGAATGGTCTATTCAAAGATTTACAAGCCCTAAGATATCTAATTTAGTCCGATAACTGCATTGCCTCCAACCATGGTTTTCCATTAGTTTGTCTCTCTGGTCTAAGTTCTATTTTCAATTCTTCTTTTCCTTTCTCTAAGACCTGCCATATCCGTACATAGGAGATGTTCTCAATATTCAGGAAGGAAACCACCTGCATACCTGGTGGAAATTGTGGATTACCCGCAATGGGAGTTAGGGGCCCTGGTTTAGACGATAGATTGTATTTATCAACAATTCTGTCCCAGGTTCTTAGCACCGGCTTTGCCAAATATGGCAGAGTAGACATATGTGGTCTATTCTCTGTTGACAGCCATGGGATATTCCTCAGAGGTATAGGGGCGATATTTGTCTCAAGTTTTACTCCCCCCTTAATTTGACTACTATGTATCCAGTCTAATATTCTTAGTAATAAAGCTGCTTTATGGTATAAAGCACAATCCAGTATTCACAGTCCTCCTCTTTGTTTTGGTCTCATTAATACTTTAGCACTAATCCGTAGGGTTTTATTAGCCCATATAAATGTTATTGCTGCCGACTTAAGTTTTTGAAAAAAGGTTCTGGCAGTAGAATAGGGACTGTCTGAAACCTATATAAGATTTTGGGCAGGATATCCATTTTTAGTACATTGGCTCTACCCATCCAAGACAAGCTCAGACAGTTCCATATATGGAACTGAGCGAAAATCTTATCTGACCAATCTCTAAAGTTTATGGCATAAAGTGTATTAAGGTCCTTAGGGATATTAATACCTAGATATACAATATAATTAGGCTGCCATCAAAATGAATAGCTTTCCTTAATGCATGATTGTACTTCATCCGTTAGTGATATATTCAGAAATTCCGATTTTGATATATTTATATGGA